CTTACTAATGATTTGTATCGGGGGAAATGATATCTCTCTCTCTGGAGTCTATACCTCTTTAATACGAGAGGATTTTGCTCGCTTTAGAAACCGCAGCTTGGCATTGCATGCCATTATGAAGCTTGTGATCTCGTAGAACTCCCATATCCTTCTCCACCATTGATTCCCCCAGTTGTGCCCCCCCCCCCCCCTAGTATGTATGATGCATGCATATTCTTATGTATTATACATGGTGATCATATCCCCCCCTTATGTATTATACATGGTGATCATATCCCCCCCTTATGTATTATACATGGTGATCATATCCCCCCCTTATGTATTATACATGGTGATCATATCCCCCCCTTATGTATTATACATGGTGATCATATCCCCCCCTTATGTATTATACATGGTGATCATATCCCCCCCTTATGTATTATACATGGTGATCATATCCCCCCCTTATGTATTATACATGGTGATCATATCCCCCCCTTATGTATTATACATGGTGATCATATCCCCCCCTTATGTATTATACATGGTGATCATATCCCCCCCTTATGTATTATACATGGTGATCATATCCCCCCCTTATGTATTATACATGGTGATCATATCCCCCCCTTATGTATTATACATGGTGATCATATCCCCCCTTATGTATTATACATGGTGATCATATCCCCCCTTATGTATTATACATGGTGATCATATCCCCCCTTATGTATTATACATGGTGATCATATCCCCCCTTATGTATTATACATGGAGATCATATCCCCCCTTATGTATTATACATGGAGATCATATCCCCCCTTATGTATTATACATGTTGATCATATCCCCCCTTAATCTCCTCTTCTCAAGAGAGAATAAATTCAGTTCCTCTAATCTTTCCTCATAGCTGAGCTCCTCCATGCCTCTTATCAGTTTGGTTGCCCTTCTCTGTACTTTCTCCAGTTCCCCAATGTTCTTTTTGTGAATTGGGTGTCCAAAACTGAACTGCATATTCCAGATGAGGTCTTACTAATGATTTGTACCGGGGGAAATGATATCTCTCTCTCTGGAGTCTATACATCTTTTAATACAAGAGAGGATTTTGCTTGCTTTAGAAACCGCAGCTTGGCATTGTATGCCATTATTAAGTTTGTGATCTACCAGAACTTCCAGATCCTTCTCCACCATTGATTCCCCCAGTTGTACCCCCCTAGTATGTATGATGCATGCATATTCTTAGCCCCCAAGTGCAGAACCTTACATTTATCAACATTATACCTCATTTGCCACATAGTTGCCCAATTAAACAGTACATTGAGGTCGGCTTGTAAGTGAAGTGAGAAGGAATCCCTGGTTGTCACCTGAGCTAGTGTCCCTGGTTTCCTCTATATTACTGTTCTGGTGACAAAGAAATTTGTGGGTTTTTTTCCCTTTCACTTTCTGTGATAATGGTAAAACAGGACAATTAGAGAAGGCGAATCTCCATAATGGGGACAGCAATAAAAAGTGACAGGAGCTCTAATCCCTCTCAACTAAACAATAAAAATGCCTATAGTTATATTTAAAGTAGAACCAAACTCACAATACTTACCTCCTCTCCAATGGTGTGATGTCTGGGGAGGGGTTCCTTGCCAGCATCTTCTCCCTGGTGCCAGTCTTCGACTGTCTTGATTGGGCAGAGTGGAATGCTGCAACTCCTGTGCATACACAGGAGTCAGTAATCCTAGTTTGATGGGTCATTCGAATTATCTCGGACCATCAGGGGAGCCGAAACATAGAACTCGTGAACCGTGCAACATATATTTTTATAATTCATATCTAAATAATCCTCAGACTTGTCTGCATGATAATATACCCATGGGGGGACTGTCGCTTGTGCAGATGGAAAGTTGTAGACAAGAATATGAATTATGAAAGATGTTTGTTCCAGTTTAGGGTTCTGCCCGACAATCCCTCCCTAAACAGGGGATTGGTCTTTTATTTCAGAACCACCCCCTGCTGGGAAACTTTAAAGCAGGCTGTCAAGCCAAAGAGGAGAGTTGAAGAATTCTCCCATTTTTCCATCGTAACATAGGGAGATCAAAGCACCATCCTGCTCTGACTTGGATCTGCTAAACCCAGGACTTTGGCAAGTACTTTAACCCTTTCACCTCTCTCTCTCTTTACTGTGCTATGGTTCTCTGTATATTTATCTTAGTTACATCTTCTCTGTCAATATTTTATTGCACCTGTTTGACCCTTTTAGTAATAAATCTCTCTTTCAGAAAGTGTTGAACTGTTTATATAGTTCTTAATTGCAATTTACGAATCCCTGCTTTTGAAGAGACGCTACGGTTTGTTTAAACCTCTGTATAACCGGCCTGCGGACCATTTTATACAGACGATTATTTCAATCATTATAGTGTTATAACTGATAACGCGAGTTTCCTCTTTCTCTGTACAAAAAGAAGGTGGGTGGTAGTGTGGAGGGTTAGTTGCGCAATTAACCCGACCCAGTAACAATCGCTCAGGTTGCAGGTACATAGATTGTAGTCCATTAGCTGGAAAATCTTTGTGCAGGGTGCAGCTGGGCGTAGTATTGTTATGCACGTCACATCGCGGTTTGGATCGGCCAGTCCTTCGGTCACGAGTTTGGTGAGGGTCTGACGCCGCGATCGTGACAATAGCCACCTTCTCTTGGTTGTTCTTCAGATGGACTATGGAATTTGTAGTGTACATAGAGCAGTGTACATGACCACAACTCACATGCACTGCTTGTTATAAACAAACAGAAGTGACAGGGAAATGGAGAGGTTTGGGAGCTCACAGAAGACATTGCAAGGAGGCAGCGGGAGGAATAGTGCCCCATCACTGGCGCCAGCGGGAGGAATAGTGCCCCATCACTGGCGCCAGCGGGAGGAATAGAGACCCAAGGCCAGATAAAGACATGCAAAGGGCCACAACTGGCCCGTAGGCTAAAGTTTGGAGATCCCTGATTTAGAGGATGAGATGAAAAAAACATCACTTGCATGTTCTGAAGAGGACAGGAGTTTAAGCTGACAAACTGAAAACCCACATAAAAGCATTTTAAAGCATGTTCACATGTTACATTGTAATGGCCAAAATAAATGTATATTCTGGCCAAGAGAATGCATACAGTGTCTTGAGAAAGTATTTATACCACTTGACATTTTCCACGTTTTGTCATGTCAATGTATTTTATTTGATAGACCAACACAAAGTGAAGAAAAGCATCCCCACAACATGATGCTGACACCACTATGTTTCACTGTGGGGATGGTGTGTTCAGGGTGATGTGCAGTGTTAGTTTTCTGCCACACATAGCGTTTTGCTTTTAGGCCAAAAAGTAAAATTTTGGTCTCATCTGACGAGAGCCCCTTCTTCCACATGTTTGCTGTGTCCCCCACATGGCTTCTCACAAACCGCAAACAGGACTTCCTATGGCTTTCTTTCAACAATGGCTTTCTTCTTGACCCTCTTCTATAAAGGTCAGATTTGTGGTGTGCACAATTAATAGTTGTCCTGTGGACAGATTCTCCCACCTGAGCTGTGGATCTTTGCAGCTCCTCCAGAGTTCCCATGGGCCTCTCTTCTGCTTCTCTGATTAATGCTCTCCTTGCCCGGCCTGTCAGTTTAGGTGGACGGCCATGTCTTGGTAGTTTTGCAGTTGTGCCATAATCTTTCCATTTTCGGATGATGGACTGAACAGTGCTCTGTGAGATGGTCAAAGCTTGGGATATTTTTTTTTTTTATAACCTAGCCCTGCTTTAAACTTATCCACAACTTTATCCCTGACCTGTCTGGTGCATTCCTTGGCCTTCATGTTGCTGTTTGTTCACTAATGTTCTCTAACAAACCTCTGAGGGCTTCACAGAACAGCTATATTTATACTGAGAATAAACTACACACAGGGGGACTCTAATTAGGTGACTTCTGAAGGCAATTGGTCCCACTAGATTTTAGTTAGATATCAGAGTAAATGGGGCTGAATACAAATGCACACCACACTTTTCAGATATTTATTTGTAAAAAATGTTGAAATTTATAAATTTTCCATCCCCTTCACAATTATGTGCCATTTTGTGTTGGTCTATCTCACATAAAATACATTTACGTTTTTGGTTGTGACAAAATGTGGAAAATTTCAAGGGGTATGAATACTTTTTCAAGGCACTGTAAATGGCAACCACGCATGAATGCACGTGAACACACATTAAAAAAAAAATGTAGCTTTCACTATGGGTTTTTTTTTCCTTCTGCTTCTCTCTTGGAAGCAGAAAAAGCGTCTGAAGTATTCAATATGCATTAACCCATACAGCTCCTATTGGAAGGGACAGGGTGACACAGCAGGAGAGAAATCAGGAAACAGTTGTCACCCTATAACAGGAAGTGCCTGAGCGAGGACCTTCAGTGACAGGATCCTTATGTATTGGGAGGACCGTACCTCTGAACACACCCGGGGCTAGGATGTAAACAACGCGGGATCCTGTACATTGCACCCCGCTGATCGCGGAATGCGACACTCTGCAGGTTTCCATGCAAACAAACAGTACATGCAAGGTTTTATCCTCTATAAAGGTTGGTGAATTTATTCCATTTTTGCAAAAAGGCCGACTGTGCTGGAGACATTTTTCAGTTAATCCCCCACTATTAGGCAGGTTCATTTACCTCTTGGCTACCTATACTGGATATGTGGAGTATTGAATGACGATGGCCCATACACTGCGGGGGAACCCCCGGTGATCGCTGGGTTCAGATTAGGAGAGGTGGAGCTGCTGATGACAGAAGTAAACAAACAGCTTTACCTCATACTGTCCGCGAGGATGAAACAAGACCGCTGATTGGTTGCTACGGGCAACGGCTGCGCCTGTGAGATTGAAACAAGACCGCTGATGGGTTGCTACGGGCAACGGCTGCGCCTTACTTTGCCCTCCCCTCTGTGTATAAAGCATACAGCCATTGTTGTTCCCGGTGACAGATCCCGTCAGCTCTCCATCCTCCCCTCTGCCTCTCACCTCCTTGTTTTCCCGCCTCAGCTGTCCAGGTCCTGACAGTCCGCGAGCTCTCCGATCAACGTCTGTCGATGTCTCACCGTGACCAGCCCGGCTTTCACCGCTCTCCTCAGCCAGCTGCTGACGTCACACCCCCACGTGGTACGAGTGTGTGTTTTTTTAAAAATGCAACTGTGTATCGTCGTTCTAGAGGGAACGCCCATAGGCCGCTCTGTTGGACGCGCCCATCTGCGGGTTGCTAGCCAATTACTGAGTTCCGAGGCAGAGGGGCTCGCCGTTGCTAGGAGGCAACCTGCATTACAGGCAAAGTTATGGGCAGCTAGGCCCGGCGACTATTGGTTTGACGCGAGCCAATCGTATAAAAGATTGGGATGTGGGCGGTGCTTGTGGTGTTTTTTAAACGCGGAGGACTTGACGTTGGAGTGTGTGAGGTGAAGAGTTCAGGGGGTGAGGCGGGAGCCGCTTACCTCTGTGTAACCTCATCCTGAACCGTGTGTTCAATGTCCGTATAGTGAGCCCCAACATTCATATAACACCGTACACCAGTGCGAGGAGAACGCACTCTTACCTCACACTGCTCTAATGTACACCAGGGCGAGGAGAACGCACACTTACCTCACACTGCTCTAATGTACACCAGTGCGAGGAGAACGCACACTTACCTCACACTGCTCTAATGTACACCAGGGCGAGGAGAACGCACACTTACCTCACACTGCTCTAATGTACACCAGTGCGAGGAGAACGCACACTTACCTCACACTGCTCTAATGTACACCAGTGCGAGGAGAACGCACACTTACCTCACACTGCTCTAATGTACACCAGGGCGAGGAGAACGCACACTTACCTCGCACGCTGCTCTAATGTACACCAGTGCGAGGAGAACGCACACTTACCTCACACTGCTCTAATGTACACCAGGGCGAGGAGAACGCACACTTACCTCACACTGCTCTGATGTACACCACTGCGGGGAGAACGCACACTTACCTCACACTGCTCTAATGTACACCAGTGCGAGGAGAACGCACACTTACCTCGCACACTGCTCTAATGTACACCAGTGCGAGGAGAACGCACACTTACCTCACACTGCTCTAATGTACACCAGTGCAGGGAGAACGCACACTTACCTCACACTGCTCTAATGTACACCAGTGCGAGGAGAACGCACACTTACCTCACACTGCTCTAATGTACACCAGTGCAGGGAGAACGCACACTTACCTCACACTGCTCTAATGTACACCAGTGCGAGGAGAACGCACACTTACCTCACACTGCTCTAATGTACACCAGTGCGAGGAGAACGCACACTTACCTCACACTGCTCTAATGTACACCAGGGCGAGGAGAACGCACACTTACCTCGCACGCTGCTCTAATGTACACCAGTGCGAGGAGAACGCACACTTACCTCACACTGCTCTAATGTACACCAGTGCAAGGAGAACGCACACTTACCTCGCACGCTGCTCTGATGTACACCAGTGCGGGGAGAACTCACACTTACCTCGCACGCTGCTCTAATGTACACCAGTGCGAGGAGAACGCACACTTACCTCACACTGCTCTAATGTACACCAGTGCGGGGAGAACGCACACTTACCTCGCACGCTGCTCTAATGTACACCAGTGCGAGGAGAACGCACACTTACCTCACACTGCTCTAATGTACACCAGTGCGGGGAGAACGCACACTTACCTCGCACGCTGCTCTAATGTACACCAGTGCGAGAACGCACACTTACCTCGCACGCTGCTCTAATGTACACCAGGGCGAGGAGAACGCACACTTACCTCACACTGCTCTAATGTACACCAGGGCGAGGAGAACGCACACTTACCTCGCACGCTTCTCTAATGTACACTAGGGCGAGGAGAATGCACACTTACCTCACACTGCTCTAATGTACACCAGGGCGAGGAGAACGCACACTTACCTCACACGTTTCTCTAATGTACGCTGTACACCAGTGCGAGGAGGACGCACATTTACCTCACACTCTTCTCTAATGTACGCTCTATACCAGTGCGAGGAGGACGCACACTTACCCCACACACTGCTCTAATGTACACCGGTGCGAGGAGAACGCACACTTGGGGTGGATAGTTCCAGAGGATGGGGGAGGCTCTGGAGAAGTCCCAGAGACAAGTATGGGAGGAGGAGACAAGGGAGCTAGAGAGCAAGAGGTTGTGGGAGGAGCAGAGAGGATTTGGGTGATATTTGGAGACAAGATCGGTGATGTAATTTGGGGCGGAGTTATAAATGTCTTTATATGTTATAGTTAATGTTTTGAATTTTATTCGTTAGGCAATGGGAAGCCAGTGGAGGGATTGGTAGAGAGGGGTGACAGATACAGAACGGTTAGTAAGGTGGATGAGTCTGGCAGCAGCATTCATGATAGACTGAAGAGGGGATAGCCTACGATTAGTTTGGCCAATGAGGAGGGAGTTACTATAGTCAGCCAATGAGAAGGGAGTTACAATAGTCAAGGCGAGATATAACAAGGGAGTGAATAAGTTGCTTAGTGGTTTCTGAGGTTAGGAACGGGCGTATCTTGGAGATGTTGTGGAGGTGAAGTCTACAAGATTTGGACAGTGATTGGATTTGGGACTGAAAGGACAGATTGGAGTCTAGGATTACACTTAGTACCCTGGCATGAGGGGAGGGACTGATGGTAGTATTATTGCTCTTGATGGGGAAGTCAGGGGAGGGGGCACGGGCTGGAGGGAATAGTATGAGCTCCATTTTAGAAAGATTGAGTTTGAGGAAGTGGAGTGACATCCATGCCGATATATCGCTTAATAGGCTTGTAATGTGAGAGGAGACTGATGGCGTGAGGTGAGGAGTATAAAGATAGATTTGTCATCAGAATAGAGATGGTACTTAAAGCCATGGGAGTTTATCAAGTGACCAAGGGAGGAGGTGTAGATGGAGCAGAGAAGAGGTCCAAGGACAGAACCTTGAGGGACCCCTACAGAAAAAGGGAGTGGGGGGAGGAGCCAGAGTTATAGGTAACACAAGGAGCGCTGTGATAGGAGAACCAGGAGAAAGCAGAATCTCGGAGGCCAAGAGAGTGGAGTTTTTTGAGGAAGGGATTGTCAACAGTATCAAAAGCCGCAGAGAGGTCAAGTAGTAAGAGTATAGAGTAGTGGCCATTGGTTTTAGCAGTTAGTAGATCATTAATAAATTTTAGTAGGGCAGTTTCAGTGGAGTGTAGTGAGAGAAAGCCAGACTGTAAAGGGTCAAGAAGGTTGCTGTCGGTGAGGTGGGAGCTCAGGCAATTTTAGACTAAGTGTTGTAAGAGTTTAGAGCTAAATGGCAGCAGTGAGATGGGTGTTAAGTTCTTCAGGTTGGTGGGGTCCAGGGAGGGCTTTTTAAGTATGGGAGTGATGTGTGCATGCTTTAGAGGGGAGGGGAAGGCACCAGTAAAGAGGGAGAGATTGAAGATGTGAGTGAGGGAGCATAGGATGGAATAAGAGGGTGACCGTACTAGTTGTGAGGGAACAGGATCCAGGGAGCAGGTGGTGAGATGGGCTTCTGAGAAATCTTTAGTGACCTCTTTAGTAGTAGCGAGGTCAAAAGAGGGAAGTGTTGCGGGAAGTTTAGTATAAGGTATGCTAAGTGGCATAGATGTCTATGTAGTGGAAATGCCCCTACGAATTGCATCAATCTTGTTTTTGAAATGATTGGCAATTTCGTAAGCAGCGAGTGAGTTAATGGGTGGAGGTGAAGAAAGTAGAGAGCTAAAAGTAGAGAAGAGATCACAAGGACTGGATGACAAGGTATTAATAAGAGTGACAAAGTAGGCTTGTTTGGCAGCATGGAGGGAGGAATTGTATTTTAAGAAAGCAGATTTAAATCGGTTGAATGCTTGCTGGGATTTGGTTTTACGCCACAATTGCTCCAGTGCGCGACTATGTCTCTTAAGCTTTTCTGGTGTCAGTCTGCCATGGTTGTGATGGTTGGGGCTTGATACTTCGTGTAGCTAGAGGAACAAGTGAGTCTAGTGTAGATGAAAGTGAACTGTAGTAGACAGAAGTGGCCAGGACAGGGGAGATATTCTGTCATAGAGCTGGTCAGTTGCAGAGTGAAAAAGTGAAGGTGTAAAGTTGTGAAGGTTTCTGAGGGTAATTGTTTGCTGCTTGGAGGGATAGGTGTTTGAAGACCAGGACACTGTGAAGGTGATGAGATTGTGATCAGATTGTGAAAACAAGGTCTAATGTATTCCCATCAGAGTGAGTGGAGGACTGTGTCCATTGTGTTAAAGCAAGAGAAGTTAGGTTGAAGAGTTTCCTCAAACACTTCTCTACTATACACCGTACACCAGTGTGGGGAAAATAGATGTCTATGTAAGTCGCACCTGAACTTGCAAAAAGTATTGCAAAAGGTAGTGCATGAACTACTTTCAAAATCGGTGGCGATGGAGGTGATTGAACACCTGAATCCAATGACTTTGAGGGCTGGCCCCAATACTTTGGCAATATAGTGTGTGTCTGTGTGTATATATATATATATATATATATATATATATACAGTGGGGATCGAAAGTTTGGGCACCCCGGCTAAAAATTTGTATTAATGTGCATAAAGAAGCCAAGGAAAGATGGAAAAATCTCCAAAAGGCATCAAATTACAGATTAGACATTCTTATAATATGTCAACAAAAGTTAGATTTTATTTCCATCATTTACACTTTCAAAATAACAGAAAACAAAAAAATGGTGTCTGCAAAAGTTTGGGCACCCTGCAGAATTTATAGCATGCACTGCCCCCTTTGCCAAGCTGAGACCTGCCAGTGTCATGGATTGTTCTCAATCATCGTCTGGGAAGACCAGGTGATGTCAATCTCAAAAGGTTTTAAATGCCCAGACTCATCTGACCTTGCCCCAACAATCAGCACCATGGGTTCTTCTAAGCAGTTGTCTAGAAAACTGAAACTGAAAATAGTTGACGCTCACAAAGCTGGAGAAGGCTATAAGAAGATAGCAAAGCGTTTTCAGATGTCAATATCCTCTGTTCGGAATGTAATTAAGAAATGGCA